TTCAGCTTGCTAACAAAAAGCAATTAAGCTGACTGCCAGTCTACAGGGCTGATTTCACACTCAGGCCTCTTGCTGCATGGCAGTACCACAGCACATTGTTGCTGCAGTGCATTTCCCTTCACTTTCAAATGGGAATCTATTGGGAGTCCTCCACAACCCTTACAAATTCTAGAGGCTGCACCCAGCATGTGGAGACAGTCCTGCTCCTCAGAAGAGGTGTTGCAGCCACGAGGAGGGAAGTGGGGAGCAGTGGAAAGCTGTCCGGATGTCACAGAGAAACTGGGGTAAGTTCAGGAGAGTTAGTGATTTCATTTCATTATTACTGATGGCATGAGTGAGTTTTGAGAGCACAGTGAGAGAGGTGTGGATGAGTACAGGCACACTGCAGATTTGAGAAAAGAAGTGAGCACGTTATCCACACCTAGAGCATGGGGCTGTACATCAGGTGTGAGGAGCAGCATGTGAAGGGCTGGCTCAAGCACCAGAGGGCCGTAAAACTGGGGAACAGATGGCAGAGTACTTCATTCAGCTTGCCAGCCAAAGGAGAGGCATTTAACTCGCTCTTTCTAGAGTCCAGTTGTTTTGTTACTCCATAAAAAGCTCCAGGAGATATTAATCCCAGCTCATACAACAAGGGCTTTAATTTCATTTCCTGCTGTAAGACAGAGTTCAAAAACAAACACATCTCAATTTTGACTAAGAAATTTAAATTAATGGTTCTGAAACAGAGCTTACAAGACAAATACACCCCAATGCTTAACACAGCTTGAATATTAGTGTGGACTTTAGAGCTGGCCTTACCTCTCCAGTGGGACAGCCTACCACCCCACACTGCCGTGTGCACAGACTGTCCAGCTGTGTATTTTAAACTAAGTTTTGGGATTTGTAGAATTCTTTCTTAGCCAAAACACCAAGAGAAAATTAAATGTACCAAAGTAACACTTTCATTTTCATGCACAGCAGTAGTATTTAAGGACGATTTTTCCCAGACCTGCTCTGGTGTGATGCTATTTCTGAGGCATGAAGTATCTCTGTTCTTTCCTAAAACTTCTGGAAGCTGCAAGGGCTTGCATCTCTCCTAAACATGTCAGTGGGATGCTCAGTGCTGCAGTGCTGTTGTGTACCACTTACTGCTCTAATCTGCTTGGAATCCAGACCACAGCCCTATCATTTTCCTCCAGAATGAATCTTAGTTCCCATTCTTCCATCAAACTTGTCCCCACTGTTCCTGTGGCTGTACAGTCAGAAAGGTTGGTACAGTTCCAGTGAGTAATTCTTGTGTGATTTCCCAGAATCTCATGGAGCCATAGGGAATATGCTTTCAAAAAATACATATTACTTATAGATTAAATCTGGGCAAGAGGCACCTGCACCACTCTACATCAGAAAGGCCAAAATACCCCTGTGCCCTGAGACCATAGGAGATGTGCATGCTTGGGTGTCAGCAGCACCCACAATCACATTATTCTGAAAATATTACAAATTAGCAGGAGGATTCTACAACTAAAGAGACAGCAATTTTATGAAAAACAGTCTATCACATAGAATCTCCTCATTACCCACTCTGTTACTGCATGCTACTCATGAGTGATGGAGCCACCTGGCTTCTCCCAGATAAGTCCCATTGTCCTTCCTCTTGTCATCATGACATATTTCTCTTGCATACATCAAATGATGGTATTTCTGTCACATCTGGAAAGGTATTCTGATGAGAGACCCAGCAGTGCATGACATCCACTTGCATTCTGTGCTGCTTGCATAGAAAATTCTGATCCTTACAAATTGAAACAGCCCACAATGCATGGACATCTCATTGTGTGTGTGGATTTTGTTTACTTTTCTGTGAAATATAATGCCTCCTGTAATCTGCTACTGACAATGATTTGGCAAAAGCAAAAAACATCATGTATGAAAAAAGTCAGTATTGAAATTCCATTGGGGTATCCCTAGAAAAGTATGTAGTCTGAAATAGCTTAGAAAAAAAATTTAAAAAAAAAAATAAAATTGTGGAACAATTCTTCCTCCTGTGAGTCAGGAATCCCTCCAAGCTCTGTAGATGTTTTACCCTTTGCTTGCCTTGATCTACCTTGCATAGATTCCCAGCGATGTCACATTGGGTGCATACAGCTCTTAACAAACTCTCAAGCCCTACCTCTTGTACTGGGCAGGCATGATGAAGAGCAGGGAAAGAACAGCCCAGATTCTACTTCCTCTGACTTCACAGCAGAAATTCATGGATAGATGAGTGTATAATCAATGAATATTAAGATGTTACAATTACAAAATAAACAAGAGAGTTAGGCGAAGCAGCTTACAATAACAAAAAGAGAATAGATAGAAAGCTTACCCCTATCCTGGGCTCACTTACAAAACTCCAGCAGAGCAGATCTCCAGAAGAGATCCTTCCCCACTGGTAGCCAGCTCTTCAATAGGTCCAGGATGGGTGGCAGCACAGTGAATTGCCTTCACCTGTGCTCCTCTGGCTGACTCATGGCTCGCCTCAGGTGATCAATCAGAGGTTCAGGCCGTGACTCAGCAGTTCCCATACAATGAGACAGTAGAGAAAAGCAAACCAGAATAAAAGCTGCTGTGAAGTGATTGACAGACTTAGTTCTGGGAGAAAGAATGCTCACACAGCAGCAGTGCCGCTGGCCTATTAACAAGTGGAATTAATTGATGTGTCCTGACCACTCCAGCGTATGTAAATGAACAAGCAACGATGCACTCTCATTCCTGATCCTTAGCTTATTTTCTTTCTCTGCAGCCCTGCATGGGGTAGAAGCTTTTCTCCTGCTGCATTTTAGGAGACCTTCACCCCACTCCAAGGGTGACATGTCCCTTCTCCTCCTCTCTCCCTGGAATGCCATCACTCAATGTGCATTCAGTGTGATATAAATATCAGGAGGAGGAAACGCCCTGTTCAGCAACCTGCCCAACTGTGATTCAGAGGGGGGTGGACTACAGGAGGTTGAAAAATGACCTATGGTTGCAAAGCTCAGCATTTATTAACAATTAATTTGCTTCAGTGAAGAAATTAATTGATATTTGCCCTTAGAAGCACATGAAGCAAACTTGTCTCCAGGAGAACATTATGAGCACACAGGAACATCAGTTTCAGAAAACAAAGCTTCAGTGCAACATGCCAGCAGGGGCTGGGACTGACAGTCTCTTGTTTTCCCGAAGGTCACTGCTCTCAGTAGCCATTGCAGTATGGCAGGGTAAGTGTCAAAAAAGTAGCATCCTGTAGCATTCCCACCGGCACTACTGTGAGGAGCTGCTTGTTTGCTAGGCTCTGCCTCGTGGTTCCAACCTGTTACACCGGTCTCCCAGATATACTTTCAGATGTGCCACTATTGTGATGGATCTAAGTCGTGTGGGGCTGTCTCACTGCATCACTCAAATTATTCTGGGAAAAGAATGACAAGTGGTTTCTATTTCAGTGAATAACAAATACGTTCATTATTAGGCCAGTCCAAGGTTCAGGCTTTGTGTCGGTGACAAGCCTATCTGATGACAATAAAGCAAGGGGAATGGGAGAAAATGCTGAAGAAACCATCTTTGTTTTCCGCCCCTCATTCCAGTCTCCCTGGAATGTGATGAGTAGCAGTGAACAAAGAGAAGGCTCTTTAAGCACTGAAGCGGACTTATAAAGGAGTGATGCCTTTGTGCTAAGCTGCTTTCCTCCTTGTCTGGAAGGTCAAGGGGCCAGTTTTTCTCTCATTTTTTGAATGTGGCAAAGATCAGATGTTCAAAAATATCACCAATTTGTCTGGGTTTGTACTCAGTTTGACCAAATAACCGTGTTTAGGAGCCACGTGGATCAAGCAGGTATTCACCAGCTGTTGTGTAAGCTGTTCAAACAGACAACGCAATACTCTGCTTTGCATCCAACCAGCAAAAGAGTTCATCCATACGTTTACCCAGAGAAACTGGGAATGGAAGCAGAAGCAGAGCTGGTGCTGTTCTTTTCTTCTGCTTTATGCTCCATTCTGTTCTAGAGTAAATTCAACAGTCGTAGAATGCAGAGCAGGCAGTTTCTACTTTAGCTGTCCTTCTGAGGAATTTTCCTAACGATTTTCCTAACACCTGTTTCTGTCACGGTGATATACCTCTTCATCAGCTCACTATCTCTAAGCCTACCCTACTAGGCATCAGAACTGGAAGCACCCACTTGTTTACCTTAGTGCTGCACACACAACTTTGAGCTTTGCTCCATATTGTTTCTAAGTAGTTCACCTGAAGACTTTTAAAATGCAGAGCCATGTTGCTTTAGTTTTCTATCTGTTGACAGAATGAAGTATAAAAGTACTGATTGGTTTTAGGCACACAGAATGCAATTACAGTAGAGAAACAGAGTAGAATTCTGAACATTTGACTGAAGATAAAGTTTGAAGTTTGAAAATGGCTCCACGGCCAACTGGCAGCCATGAGCTGCCTCAGTTCAGATCCATCCAGCACTGAGGCTACCCAGGAATCTCACATTACAGGTTTACAGTTAGCTGCCAGGAGACTGGTTGTGAGTTCCAGATGGAAATGATCTAATTTCAGTGGGAAGACTACGGAATAAGAAATTGCACGTTGGGTGCCCAATACATATCCCTTCAAATGAGAAAGCAGTGGTAGGAGAGAAGCAAAAAATATACCAAAAAAATTATGCAAGTTAGAACCAAATGTGTTAGGAAGTGGTGGGAAGGTTTCCCTTTCTGTGCCCTCTTTGCTCCTAAGTAGTCAGTTGCTAAGGACAGGGTGATTGGTGATGTTAGTTTACAAGAGAAGACAAGGGCAGAACACAAGTGATAAGCCTCTTCCAGATAAGAAACATTATAACAGAGCAAAATCTCCTCCACGAGCATGATTCAGGCTAGTGAACAGAAATCCGTATCATTTTTTGTCAAGAAATGGGGGCAGCAGTCCTCAGCATCCCAGAAGAAACAACAGCCAGGCACACAGATTAGGCATGTAGTAAAAAATGAATGCAAAGAGAGAATCGGATAACTTACAGCAATGAGCTGATAGGAGTTGTTCATCATGGCTATGAGCATGTTCAGCAGCACGACAAGAGAGATGACGTTGTAGGTACCAAACATAGTGGCCCCAACAAACTCTGTGAACTCATGTCTGGCTTTCACATTGGTGACGTAGAGATTCAGCAGTCCAAACACAGACCAGAAGAGAGACTGGAGGGTCTCGAAAAGTCTGGAAAAACAAACAAACAGAATTTTACTTGGCTGCTTGGTTCTGGGAAATGGAAATCAGTGCCTTTAGGAACTCTGGATTTGTTGAGGATGGGTGTCACCTGGTGTGAGAGGTCTATTGGTAGCATTGGAAGCACTCCATCACTGGGAGCACCGACATCAGGTGGGGAATACACCAATATCAGGAGCTGGAGAGCATCAGTACAGTACAGATCTCAGCAGTGCCCTTTATTCTGTATGCACTCCAGCCACAGGGACCCACTGGCCAATGACTGCAAGAGTTTTATCACATCAGTAAAATTCACCACCTGTTTGAGAACCATATCCATGTGAGATGCAACAGCCTAATCGCCATGAAGAAACCTGACATTCTATTCCTACTCTATATACATGCCAAGAACAAACACAGTATATTCCCTTTAATTAAAGTTGGCACAGGGTGCTAGTGTTACTGCTGTTATATATAGATATAACTGTTGAAGCAGTGCATGCATCATTAACATGTCTATAAACTAAATGCTTAGAAAGTCCATGCTTTAGTTCTGCATGACCGTAGTAGTTAAATAGTGCTCTATGACAGGGAATCAAAAGGTGAGAGATGCAAGAAATCACATCCACTTGAACCTCTGCACTAGGATAGGCTGATAGCTTGTCATTACTTTGACTGCAAGTGAACCAGGCCAGTGTTCTAACACCCCATTTGACAGCACTGCACGTGGCCAAAAACACTGGTTGTGATGGCTTGTTTGTGAAGTAGCTCCCACCCACCACAGTGCAGTGCCCTCAACATCATGCTGCAACAATTGATCAGTAATGACTCAGATGAAAGAGAGTCATCACATTAATTCAGCTTGAAAGGTTTTCTTCATTTGAAGTCTTCCATCCATAGAGGAACTAGACCTGACCTTCCATGCTTTACAGCTGATGAGATCATCCCAGGTCTCTGTTTGCTTCAGCCAGACAAGTGACCTTTTGCAATCACGTCAAATACATAATCAGCAATCTAAATAATTGCTCTATTTGGGCATCATTTGTTTTGGCTTTCAAAAATGTGGCATTTATATCATCAAAAAATGACATTTATATGCCTGTTTAAGAGTTTCCATTTTGGCCTAGGGTCAGTGGATATTTTTGAATGCTCTTACCAGAAAAATCAATAAATATAAATTCAGATACGTTACAAACCAGGAATCCATTCTCCTGAATTCTGTGTGCTGTATCTTCTCCATACATAGCGCCATGCTTTACATGGGGATTTAGTTTCTTTATGTTTTGTGAACATAGGTTTTCACTGGCCAAAATCACAAAGATTCTTTAAAGCAAAAATCCTTTCTCCCAGAAGTCAAGATATTGGGCTTATTAAATAAGCAAGGTAATGGTATAATAAGGATTAAGCAAAGAATGCTGAGCAGTTTGCTATTATGAACAGTGGAGTAGTCACTGTCTTTTATCTTATTTTAACTACTGGTGGTAGAAGTACTGATTGGAGTGTAGGCTCAGGAGAAACTGAGGTTCTTGTCGTGGTTATATGAAACTGAAAAAAACCTTCTATGTGATTTGTGCATTGCCTTGAATTCACAGTTATAACCACGACTATTACTGGACCAGGTTGCACCCAATATATTTGCCTGTAGGCATGTACACAGAGAAAGCAGGTGTAAACAGCACCTGTTTTTTGCAATTTTGAATAGAAATAAGGCTTTGTCTTTTGTCCCTGTTTAGTAACAGGTGAGAACCACAATCTCTTTCACTAAGTGTTTCAGGTGAGGCTCATACTACTTCTAAGAAAAGAATTTTGGTAATACAACTGCACTCTCTTGTCGAGTGTGTTTTGGACCTCAAGCAAACAGCAGAAATCTCAGAGCTCCAACGTGCTCCTGAGCAGCTAAGGAAGAACAGGTGCCCCCATCTCTGCCAGGAACTCTCCCAGCCTCCTGCAGTCACTGCAGGGAAATGATCCCAGCTGGCAGCGTCACCCTTCATGAGAACGACCTCCCAGACAGTCAGGTGTAATGGCTTCTTCCTTCCCTTCCTCCTCTTCCTCTATCCTCTCCTTTCTCCATCTACCAGGATCACAGTGCTAAACATACATTTACATTAAGCAATAGGCTCTCCGCTTTCTAAAGGATGGTTAGGGCAGAGCATAAAACTTAAATTATTCATGACTTCACCTCATTGCTATCACAAAGGAATATTACTTCTCCATGATCTGTGTTTGTGATGCCGAACACTTCCACACCAAAAAAACATTAAACCCTTCCTCCGGGAGCAATAGGAAATAATGCAGCAGTAAATAGGTGTCACATTTTAAACAAGCTGTACAAACACGAACAACGCCCTGCTTTTCCTTCCCTTACAAAATTAGATCTTATTGTGTGACTGCCTAGAAATGCTGGTAGGAATCAAAGGGGACTGATTGAAAGCTTTTCACATTTTTTCTTCCATTAGGGATGAACTGTGAGCAAACTCAAGGCAACACCATCTCTGATTTGAATTCACTGCAGTCATGCTTGCTTTCTCCAGCACAACGGTGTAATTTTCTGTTTTGCAGGTTGCTCGTTCTTAGCCATTCACCCATGCTGTGCATCTGCTCAAGGGCCAAATGTCAGCTTGTACTGGGGGTGTTAATAATGACTATTTAAACTTTTAAGAATACGTTAAATAAATTTCTTAAGCGAGGCTCCAACAAAAAAGTAACTGCAGAGCATTCTGTCCCCTGCCAGCAGACCTCAGTCCTAATGGATCCCCTCCCACTGCGATTCTGTTTTAAACAAACCTCTGTCATAAAGGCTGAGCCCCCTCAATTTCCTTCCTGTGCTCTGTTCTCCTTGGCAGGGGGCTTAAACTGAATGGTAGGGTGGGAGAAATTGTGGTTTGTATTGAAGCCGATCCATACTCCTTCTGTTAAGTGGTTCTGTGTTGTTTCCAGTTCCAAAGATGTTGTGCCTTCTTACTGACTTACAGATCTTTTTTTTTTTCTCATTCCTGCTGAACAAATGCTCTTTTTCTTTAGTCAGATCCTCTTGTTGCTTCCTTCACTAATCTGCCAACACTGAAAACTAGTTTGTAATGGAGACAGGTCCAAACTAGAGTGCAGAACTGGAACACATCTGTTCACTGTCGCTCTGGGGAAAAGCAGACTCCAGTCCTAAATTTCGTGGGTTTGACCCTTCCTGAGGTAGAAGCTGTCACTTAACAAACATGGTGTTTGCCAAGCATTTCTCCCTCTGGCTACTGCATCAATATAGATGTAGATAAGGAAATAGCATTTGTTATTTAACTCCTTTGCAAGGGCAGCACAATGCATTTTTGGAGCATTCAAAGCAATTAAGACAGAAAAAAGACTGAAGTCTTTAATTCTGTTTTTCATTAGCACAGTGCAGTTCCATTCACTTCCTCCAGATATAGATGAGTTTAATGAGAAAGTTAATCAAGTCTGTGGTGTTCCTCCTCTGCAGTGGAGAAGAGCAGCACGCCTGGCCTACCAGGACATCTCTTGTGAGTTTGGACTTCATCCTTAGAAAGTCTCCCTCTTCTTGTAAGAATGGAGCCTACAGGATAGTACCAGAGCCTTTCCTCTTCCAACCTAGTCATGTGGCCTAAGCTGTCTTTGCTTTTGATAACAATGCAATGTCACAAATCCTTTTTTTAACCTCCAGCCTTCAGCTGAAGAAGAGTGGAGAATTACTGGGCATGATGACAAGTTTTATTTAATTTTGCCTGACGTGGTGGACAACAGTTTTGTTTTGCTTGCTTGCAGGGCTTAGGCCCTTTTCTAGATGGTGCTTTATTTATTTCTCTTCCTGTTGTGTGTTAAGTACTGTGCAAGCAGCAAGAACAATTGGAGGGGGGCTGATTATTATAATTATTTCCACTATTAGTAATTAAAACAAATAGATCACAGAGACAATTCATGTTATTTTTCAGCATGTGCTATCACTTTCAGCCCTGCCAGCTGTCATCACAGCAATTTCCATGCCAGCATCTCTGTAATGTACTAGTATTTGCAGCAAAATTGATTTTGATGTGATTTTAGTCTCACCCCGCTGCAAGGGAATCAGAGGAGCCTGCAACATCATGTGTGGATAAAAATGGCCTAGATGAGCTTGTTGTTGTTGTTTGTTGCTCTGCCACATTATTTATTAATACAGCTTTTTCCTACGTTCATCTCTTGATTTCTACATTTTGTTTAGCTTTCCCTCCTTTCTCCCAGAATAAGACAAAACCGTTATTGCAGCGAAAGGATACCTATTTTCTCACATGCCAAAACTGAACGCAGCAGTAATAACATTTCAGTTGCAGGATGATGCAGAGAGACTCTCTGGACCAGAACTAAAATGATTGTCTCTCACTTCCAGACCTAAGAGGCTTTCTGACATCAAAGCTCAGCAGAATGTCTGCCCCAGTTAACTCACACCTTTCCTGCACAGTCAAGCAGCTCACCTGATATTTACAAATGAATAAATAAAGTTGCTTTTGGTGCAGTGATACACAGCATGCAAAGGCAGGTAAGAACAGGGGACAGTCAGAGTTGTCCTCAAAATCAGACAGGAAAGAACATCTTACGTGGAGAAGGCATTGTTCTGTTTCTCACATCGGATCCCCTTGCAGTTGTTGGGTTCCTCCGAGGCACTGGTCTCATAATAAAAATAAAGCTGGTTCAGTCCATTGGCAAAAGCCAGAAGCACCAGACAGTAGATAAAAAGGAATTTAAGGATGTCTAGCAGCATGCGTCCCAGAGAAATCTGCAGGGGTCCCAGGTGTGAATTTGCTGTAAACAGGGATATGAGACGCAAAGAACTTAAAATGTTGGATATTGCAAAGAGGGCTTCTGCAATGAGAGTCGGGTGCCACATTTCCCATTCCTCCCTTGGACGTGAACCGTTGTACTGAAAGAAATAACACAGGTATAAAGGTGAATTACCTTGTAATCATTTTGAGGTAAACTTGAAACTCAAACCTGCTAATACTAATGCTTTACCTATAAACATTGACCAGACAAAGACACAACAAGTACTTTTCAACTCAAAGTATCAGGATCCCACTATCAGTCAGGATTCACGACTGAAGCTGAGTTCATCAGAACAGAGCTTTTTAACGAATTCTTATGAGATCCCCTACAGATTTAGACTGTTCTCTAGAGATATTTTTGGGATATCAGCTTTTCTCTGGGGGTTTCTGG